AAAGTGTAAATTTCCTAGTTTTGATAATTGCCCTGTGATTATTAAAGATAACATCATTGGGGAAGCTAAATGAAAGGTACATGGAAGCTCTGTGTGATATCTAAATCTCCTTGTGACCTAAAATTACTTAAAATTAAAAGATTTCTTTTTTAAATAATGGAAAGAGACTTTTTGGAAAGTTATATAGAATCTTTTTCTTTTGGGTACCTATATTTTTTAAAAGGCTAATTCTCAGTTGTCTGCAATAACCTAACTACCACGAGAAAGAAAATGATATTGGATCTTTTCCTACTCCTATTCAATTTTTATATACTTTTATTAAGCACATATTAATGAAGTACATGGTACTATACTATTTCATCTGTACAAATTTATGTGCTCCCACACCCCACGGTCAAGGTTTTTGTTCTGTTGTTGTTGTTTTGTTCTACTACGATGACATAAAGGAACCAAGAAAATACAGCTATGAATCATATCTAAATTGAACACCATAAGAATGAAATGCCTCCCTGAAATTAAAAGAATATCTGATTAAAAATCTTATTTTTTATCCTAAGGATTACTGAACTACTTTTTTTCAGTAAATATGACAATGTTGAAACAGCTACTTTTAATCAAGTGCTTTCTGCCAATAAATTCACTTGCTGTCAACAATATAACATAAAAATTCATCCACCTATTTTACATATAAGGAAAGCTAGACTCTTAAAGATTAATTTGCTGAAGTCATGCAACTATTAAGTGGCAAAATGAGGATTCAAACTCGGCTCTCTAAAGACGACACACTTTCCACTATCTTTGCCCCTCTGTGCTTTCATTCCTGTGCTTAAAAGGTATCTATTGTATCCTTTACAAACAACCAAACCTTCATGGCAAAATAGCCATTCTAAGTACATTTACACATTTTCATTTAAAAAAAAATTTCTCAATATTCATTCCTGGCTCCTATTTAAAGTTAAAGTTTGTTACTGAAGCTGAAGGAAAATCGTAGAAGAATGAAAGAAATGCAAGTGGTATTCCAAGTAACAATATGTGCATGCTCAAGTGGGAAACATGAGAAGAGCATCTGCCAAAATCGTTTTGGCCTCACATGATACTATCTCACTGATCTGGGTCCAACTTACATTTGTTTCTCTCTTTCTTTCCCTCCCCCATTTCCTCTTCGTTCCAGAAGCATATAAAAATCATAGCAAAGGAGCTGGATAGAGTTTCCAAGAATACACTGAGAACACTGTCAAATAAGGGAATGGCTATCTAGTCCAAGCATAACCTTATTTCAATTAAGAAAATTCTTAAATGCTAAGACAAATCTTTATGGGATCAGAAAAAAACAACAAGAAGCAAACTTATCTAAATATTGATGACTGAAAACCAATAGATTTGAGGAGAGAAATGCTCAAAAGAGCTAATTAAGTATGCCTTTTAATCTGTACTTAGGCACAGGGCATTATAATTTAGTATGAGTCAACCTTCAAGCTGGATACACTTTTTAATTCAAACTTATATTTTAAGTCTTTCATTATGTCTAATTCTACTTCCAGCTTTTGTTCCCCAGCACTGATCCCTATCTGTTCAACATGGATACTATTGAATTTCAGATTTCTTATAACCAAAGACCACCAAAATCGAGCATTATTTTTGAAGATCTACAGACTTCATGACACTGTCCTTACTTCTGTTGATGCTTGGAATTTTTTTTTTTAAGACAGAGTCTCACTCTGTTGCTCGGGCTGGAGTGCCATGGCATCAGTCTAGCTCACAGCAATCTCAAACTCCTGGGCTCAAGCGATCCTTCTGTCCCAGCCTCCCAAGTAGCTGGGATTACACGCATGAGCCACCATGCCTGGCTAATTTTTTTCTATATATTTTTAGTTGGCCAATTAATTTGTTTCCATTTTTTTTAGTAGAGATGGGGTCTCGCTCTTGCTCAGGCTGGTTTCGAACTCCTGACCTTGAGAGATCCACCCGCCTCGGCCTCCCAGAGTTCTAGGATTACAGGCATGAGCCATCATGCCCAGCCAATGCTTGAAATTTTTCAAGTCTAGTGTATGTAACTGATATTATCTTTTAAAAGAAACGGGCAGTTCTCTATCAGCCATGTCTTGAAAAGGGTCAAAGTAAAAATGGCTAATTGATTTATATTTTTAAAAATCACCTAGGCATTTTCCCCGCATGATGATAATGTATGGTATCCTGAGTTCTTTCTTTCCAACTTCTTGGTGAATTAAAGAACACTACAACAGTTAAGAAAAATAACTTCCAAACACACAGGCTAAAAAAAACTTAGTCTTCTCTCCCCAACTATGTATCAGCTAACAAATAATCCTAATAAATATTTCTATTCTGATGTTCAGGGGCTCAAGTAATAATGCTATGAAGTCTACTCTACAAGCCCCTTATCTTATTCCCCGCGAAGACACAAAAAGAGATGAGACAAAATAAATAACTGTGTCAGGCATTGTGTTAACCTAGGAAATACAAGAAATATTTTAGGACCCTCTCTAACAGGTTCACACTCTAATGGAGGAGGCAAAGTTAACAGACAATTATAATTCAGTGCAGTGAAGGATGTTGCAACGATAAGCACAGGGTGCTTAGGAAATATATAGGAAGGACTTTTAACACAAGCCAAAAAGGGGAGGATTTCAGGGTGTTCACAAGAATTCCCCAGAAAAAGTGACTAGGAAATAAGTAACCACTTCACATCCACTAGGAGAGCTATAATAAATAAGACTGACAATAACAAACGTGGGGAAGAGTGTGGAGGAATTGGGACCCTCATACATTGCTGGTGAGAATGTAGAAGGGTGAGGTCACTTTGGAAAACAGTTTGGCATTCCTCAAAATGTTAAGCATAGAATTGCCCTATGACCCAGAAAATTCACTACTAAGTATATAACCAACAGAACTGAAAACATATGTCCACACAGAAAACTTGTACACGAATATTCATAGAAGCATTATTCAAAATAGCCAAAAAGTGGAAACAATCCAAATGTCTCTAAATCTGTAGTTCCCAAGCCCAAGGCTGCAGACCAGTACCTGTCTGTGGCCTCTTAATAACCAGGCCACACAGCAGGAGGTGAGGGCAGGTGAGCAAGGGAAGCTTCATCTGTATTTACAGCCGCTCCCCATAGCTCGCATCACCGCATAAGCTCCGCCTCCTGTCAGATCAGCGGCAGCATTAGAGTCTCATAGGAGCATGAACCCTACTGTAAACTGCACATGCGAGGGATCTAGGTTGCTCGCTCTTTATGAGAATCCAACGCCTGATGATCTGAGGTTGGAGCTGAGGCAGTGATGCTAGCACTGGGGAGCAGCTACAAGTACAGATTATCATTAGCAGAGAGGTTTGAGTGCACAATAAATGTAATGCACTTAAATAATCCAGAAAACCACCACCCCTACCCCCACCCTGGTCCATAGAAAAATTGTCTTACATCAAACCAGTCCCTGGTGCCAAAAAGGTTGAAGACTGCTGCTTTAAACTGATGAATGAATAAATAAAATGTGGTATATTCCAAGTGGAATACTATTCCTTCATAAAAAAGAATGAAGTAGCAATGCTTGCTACAACATGTATGAACATAGACAAACCCTGAAAACTTTATGCTAAGTGAAAGAAGCTAGACACAAAAAGTCACAAATTATACGATTTCATTTACACACAATGTCTAAAATAGGCCGATTCTTAGACACAGAAAGTAGATTAGTGGTTTCCAGGGGGTGGGAGGAAGAGGAAAATGAAGAGTAACTACTTATGGGTATGGGATTTCTCTTTGAGGTGATGAAAATATTCTGGAATAAAAACATGATAACAACAATCATGAAATTTTGTGACTATACTAAAAACCATCGAATTCTACATTTTAAAATAGTGAATTGTAAGGCATATGAATTCTCTCTTAATAAAAAAGAGGAAAAAGAAACAAGAATAAGTAAAAACATTGAATTATAGGATCAGAAAGAAGAAAGTGGCAAGAACGATAAATGATAAAGAAAAACGGGAAATTGGGGTGGATTCCAGAGCAGGAAGGAAGAGGCAAGTTCCAGGGTAGGAAGCAGGAGGTAAGTTCTAGAGCGAGAAGGAAGAAGTGGGTCCCAAAACAGGAAGGAGGAAGTGAGCTCCAGAGCAGGAAGGAAGAGATAAGCTCCAGAGAGGGAAAGAGCCAGTGAGTTTCAGAGCAGGAAGGGTTAGTCCCATAGCACAGGAAGAAAGGAACTGAGTGGAGCTGAGGTGTGGTCTGCCTTCCATGAGTGGCAAAGCACAGAGTGTGAGTGCAGGTTAACTGTATGGGTGTGGAAACAGAGTTGAGGGAACTGATGTCTAAAGCTTCTTTTCTGACCAGAGGTAAGTGGCAACTTGGAAGGGTAGAACATTTGCAGTACATGAAGGAAGTTAATAACAACCTCTGTGAATTACGGAAGAGACAGAGAGATGACTGGAAGATAAGTCAGTTACTAGGAGTTTCCCACACCCACCATTTGAAAACAACAACAGCAATTTCCATGTTTGACGCTATAAAAAAAATTTACTTGGACACAAAATGAATAGGGGTATCTCAGAAGAAATTTTCTTCCCCGTTCAGTCTCCTGGCTCCTCCTGGCTTCCTGCCTGCTGCTTTGTACAGAAATGTTTGCATCTTTTTCAAGGCTGTCCTATTCTGTATCCCAACTGTTTCAGTCCTGCAGTGGGCCGCTTCTTCATTTATTTATTTTCCTCATATTTTATGGTATTATTTCAACAAGTAGTACTGACATCAAAAATGGATATGAAGATGCTTATTATGAAGCTTTTCACAACATTAAGGGAAAACAAGCTTTTCTCCTTATTCACTGTATCTTGGTTTTCTCTGTTTATATTGGTATTTTATAATAATATTTTCAACATTAAGAAACCAGATGGATGCATTCTAGATTTCAAGATATGGTAATAATTTTTATTTTCCATGCTTCAATAACTAGTAATTTATGTTTAAATGAATAAAATTAGCTTTTACCTTCAGTTGATAAAGTTGATACCGAGTCTGAGGATGAAGATTTTGTCAAAAAGTTCTAAAGCAAGTTCTAGATCTCCAAGTATAAGAACAACAGAATAACTCCAGATGATCCTACCTATGGACAAAAGTTAATGATTTATTAGAATTTTGCATGAAGGAAATTTATGCATAATTACTACCAAATCACATAAGTACATCCAGTGCTAAAGTTTCTGATTTCTACTCAATAGACAAATACATATCAGTTAACATTTTTTGAAAGCTTCCTATATAGCAGGTACTTTTTCACATATAACTGCATTTGTTTTTTATCCCGATGCAATCTTACAGAGAAAGAAAATGGAGCACATCTAGCAATGGCAGAGCCAGGATTTATACCCAAGGATGCTGGCTGTAGGTTCTGAGTTCTTAATCACTGCACATACCATCTTGACAAAGATCCATATACTTTATGAAACAGTCTTAAAGCTTAAATGGTATGAGGAATCTTAGGTAGTTTATTCCCATTTGATTGCTAGTGTTTCTCAAAAATATATAAATGTTGTCCAAAATTAAATATACTATAATCAAAGACAACCTCTATGGAAAACAGGAGAGAGTTTCCCAAAGAACTGAAAGTAGACCTACCAATCAATCCAGCAATCCCACCACTGGGTATCTACCCAAAGGAAAAGAAGTCATTATATCAAAAGACACTTGCACTCATATGTTTATTGCAGCACAGTTCACAATTGCAAAGACGTGTAATCAACCTAAGTGCCCATCAACTGATGAGTGGATAAAGAAAATGTGGTATATATGTAACATGGAGTACTACTCAGCCATAAAAATCAATGAAATAATGTCTTTTGCAACAACTTGGGTGGAACTGGAAGCCCTTACCACACGTGAGGTATCTCAAGAACAGAAAAACAAATACTGCACATACTCACTTGTAAGGGAGAGCTAAACAATGGGTATATATAGTCATACAGAGTGGTGTAATAGACTTTGGAGACTCAGAATGGGGGAGGATGGTAGCAGGGGTAGGATGGGAGGGGAATAAGGAATGAAAAATTACTTTTCAGATAGAACGTACACTATTTGGGTGACAGGTACGCTAAAAGCCATGACTTTACCACTATACAATTCATCCATGTAACAAAAAACCACTTGTACTCCCTAAATCTATTGAAATAAAATATACTATAGTCAGGATAATACAGTAAAAAAAAAAAAAAGGAAAAAGAAAAAGACTGAATCAAGGGAAGGCAAGTTGGGTTTTTAGGCAGAGGGCCAGCTAATGGGCTGTGAGTTGGGTTGTACCTGAAACCCTCCTATGCCTGACTTTGCTCCACTAGGTGACTACAAATGCACTTACAGTTCTAAAATTCTCTCTCACTGAAAAAAGAAAACATACACTGTGAAACCCTTCACCTCTTCCATTGCCAATATTTATTTCCTTCTCTGATTAGTCATTCATTACCCATTCTTATAGGCTCCAGCTGAAATCTCCCTCCTCTCTCACTCTGCCCATTGGTTTCTTTTTTCATTTTACACTTTGTTAATGCAGGTCTATTCTGGACAATTTAGCATTTATTAGGATACCAGACAGTTAAATTTGTTCCTTCAAACCCTTTTAGGAAAGAAGTAGAGCATAAAGAAATAAAAATGCATAATGCCTAATGCTTTCTAAGTATTATGTATAATATATTATGAGCTTGACTGGAAGCCCTTTGGGGACAGGGAGCAGCCTGGACAGCCTGGAGCAAGTGGCAGGATGCTGGGCTCATCGTGGACAGCCCTGATTAGCAGTACACCTCCCTCCCTCCCTCAGGGATAGCCCGTCGTGTTTGCTAACTGAGTTTGGTGCATACATTTACTTACACTTGCAAATACGTAAACATGTTGAGATTCAATATGTGATCTTGAAACAAGGCCTGCAGTCACTATATTTTCTAGGTATTTCTGCCAAAGTAAACATTTTTCTTTGGATCTTGATTCTCTGATTCCCCAATCCTGTATTCTTTGTATTTTGCTTTGATCCTGTTTTCATTTCCACTGTTCTTCCTGAACATTTAAAATGTGCGCCTTCCCCTATTAAAGAAACCCTAAGGTATGCTTGGAGGTGGGGGACTGGCTTTGGGAACAAGAGCAGCATCCTTAAAGGATCAGTACACATGTTAATACCCCAAATCTATGGCATTACTGCCTTCCTATGATCACTGTGAGGATAGAGTAAACTTCCAACTAACTACAAAGTGCAATTTCTTTTTTTTTTCAATTATTTTATTTTTATTTTTATTTCAGCATATTATGGGGGTAGAAATGTTTAGGTTACACATATTGCCTTTGCCTCCGCTCTGAGTCACAATTTAAAGCGTGTCCATCCCCCAGATGGAGCGCACTGCACCCATCAGATGTGAATATACTCATCTCCTCCTCCAGCCTCCACCTGCCCAGCACCGGATGAATGTTGCCACTTACATCTGCACTTAAGCACTGGTCAGTCTTGACCAGTTTCTTTAGCCTTTATGCTACATAACATATATATTGCGATAGCAACAGTAGTAGTAATGGTAGCAGCAGCAATAATACATGATGATAATAATAATCACAACCTGGCATTTACTCTATGCCTGGTGTCCTTCCCAAGCACCTTACTGGTATTAATCACATGGTCCTCACAATAACCCCATGAGATAGGTACTATTGTTACCCACATTTTATAGATGAGAAGAGAACGGAGTGGTTAGTTCACCTGCTCAAAGTCACACACCAGTAAGTGGTAGAGGCTGGATTTGAGCCCAAGGCACTCTTGACTCTAGAATACTAACCCCAAATCTCATTAATCTAAAATGCCTCAAAAATATCACTATGAAGCACTAAGACACTGCAAGGTTCTAATTGTTTTCACAGTCAAATTTAAGTGAATTTTGTGTAGGCAAACCATACCACATGTGCAGAAAAGTCTCAATTTCATGAAACCATATTTCTCTACATAAAACAATTTCACAAAATCTAGAACTAAAAAGTCTAATTTAATGATTATACCCTATAAGATTCTTACATATATAAAATCCAAAATAAAAGAGAATTCAGAAACTATTCCTTTTAACTTTATACAATAAAGTAAAAACTAAAAGCTAAGCTTCCCTGTACTTATAATTTTTTACTTTTTATTTCAAAAAAATTTCAAATTTGCAGAAACATTGTATGAACTGTTCAAAGGACTTCCGCATACCCTTTACCCAGAGGCCCCATTCAAGTTCGGCCAACTTCCCCAGTAATGTTCTTTCTAGCCAAAGAATTCCAGGATCACACTTCGTATTTATTTGCCATGTCTCTTCAGTCTCCTTCCATCTGGGACAGTTTCCTTGATCTTTGTGACCTTTACATCATGGAAGATTGTGGGTTTTTTGTAAAATGCCCCAGAACTGGATTCACTAATATTTTCTCTGTAAGATCCAAGGATTACATTGTTTTGCAAATGATGCTGTGTTCTTCTCATTGCATGCCATCGAGTGATGCATGACATCCGTGTGTCCCATCACTGGGGATGGGACCTTTGATCACTTGAGCAAGGTCATGTCTTCCCAGTTTCTCCAGTAAAGACACTGTATTATTCCTTATTATGAGTAAGGATTTGTGGGCAGATACTCTATGGTAATGCAAATATCCTGATCCTCATCCAACTTTCACTCACTGGTTTTAGCATTCGTTGATGCTTTTTACCTGAACTAATTATTACTATGATGATTGTCAAATGGAAATCTTTCTAACTCCAGTATAATTACTTCTCTCTATCAGATGGCATTCTATTTTAAAAACTTTCTCCTAACCTATTTATGCATTTATTTATTTATATCAGTGTGGACTCATAGGTGATTCCTCCTTTATTTAAAGGGATACAATCTGTAACTGTAATAATAACCACTATTATTTTGGTGCTCACATTGTACCAGGTTTCACAGGGATTAGTGGGAATCCCTTCAAGTTGACTGCTGTGTCCTTTTGGCATCTCCCCACTGTTCTTTGCAAATTCCTGTGTCTTCTGGCACAACAAGACATTCAGGGCTCATCTTGTACCTTTCTTGCCCCAGCCTTAGAACTAGACATTTTTTTTTTTTTTGAAAGACCTGTGGTTCCTTTAAGCAAATACTAGAATTTATTAATAGAAACTAACATCTGGGTGGGAGATGTGCTCATAGTTACTGAGTTGCCCTGTATCCTGGCCCTTTTAGTGAGCAGAGTTAGGAAAAATGGGTGTGTGGGTGGGTATGTGTAGGAATGAATTTATTCACAGGCATGCATATGCTTTAACATTTATATAGTTTATTTTATCTTATTTATTTTGTGAGATGGGTCTCGCTATCTCTCCCAGGCTGTTCTCACACTCCCAGGCTCAACAGATCCCTCCTGCCTCAGCCTCTTGAGTAGCTATGATTAACATTTATATGATTTCTATATTGGAATTTATATATACATAAATTTTCTACACATCAAAATCCACACTTTCACACTGATACCTCAAACTCTAATCCACAGCACAGGGTTCATTCTAGCTGTCTGCTTTTATCTGTCTGTAACTCTGTTCCCTGACAGTAAGAAGTCCGGCTCCCGTTACCTTCCATATATTTGCTTATTTGACCTGCTCTGCCTCCTTGCTCAGATCTGCCTAATAAATTTGTGACTAAATTATTAAGGAAGAAAAGAAGCAAAGAAGAAAGGAAGAAAGGCAGGCAGCTTACACCAATTTTTCTGAGATTTGGTAATCTACTTATGATAAAACATAATCCAGGACATAAGACTAAATATATCAACATGGCAGCTCATTCCCTGGCCAGCGCAGATAACAGAGTTTAAAGTTGTCTTCCAATGGCTTGTCAAATTTCAATACATGTAGGACACATGATTGTTCATCTATTTACTACAAAAAGAATTTTGGTGTATATAAGTATATTACTGGATAATAGAATTTCAAGAACCAGATGGGACTTTTTGAAAACAGATAAAAGAAATTCTAGGATATCCTTACTGCATATCCTTCCCCATTATAGTAAAGATGGGGGACAGTGGGGCCTAGAAAAGTCATAGGTCTCGCTCAGGATCACAGAACTCATTAGCAGCAAAGCG